AACGTCAGCTTTCCTGCTCCTCTGATGCTGCTTGGCCTGCTGTGTTCATCCAGCTCTACACCTTGTTATCTCCTGTTTGTCTACCTTGGATTCCAGCATCTGCAGTTTCTTTTTGTCTCTCACCCCAGTATCCAATAGTTAACCCAAAATCTTCAGCTGTCTGAAAACTGTTTTAACTTCCAGATGATCATTTTAGGTTTACTGGTGCCCATTTCATAGGATGATATTCAATCTGTGTTTGTTTTATTAAGTTTGTTGTGTGCGTTCTTTCTAGAAAAATCTCTTCAGTTTAACTTGATGACATTTGCCCAAAGTGTAAATGCCCTAGAACATTAGCTAAAATAAAGCAATATCCATAAATGTTCAAACAAAGCTATTGTTTCATGCCTTGTTTTCAGTCTTACTTAGTCACAAGCATAATTGATCATCAACTGGTTGATCTAAGCAATACAATGCAAAAGAATCATTTATAGCCCTGGGTGTTGTGAAGCATCGTTGATACATTGGTGGTGAAAAAGGCACTGAGGAGAGGGAATGGCTATAAGCAAACCCTCAAGGAATGGTACAATTGGGTATGTGCTGTTGTCAATAATCTGCTGGGATAACACTGCGCTCTCAGTTACTGTGCCACTCAGTGATCAGCCTGATACTCAGTGCGTCAATTCCCTACCCTTTCATCTCTGATTCACTCAACATCAGCACGTTGTGCCCCAAGGGTCACTAATAGCTGCCTTGTTTCACTGTGAAGGCTGTCCTAGGAGACAGCACATAACCGTGTCTCTATAACAACAGGCTGGCGTGAACAGACCTTGGCAGATGTGGGTACAGGTGACGTGCCAATTGTGGCTCTCCTCTGGTGCACGGGCCTCTCAAGGTCTTTGGTTTAGACCCCACTCCGAATGCACACCCTCAGCCAAAACCTCAGTGCAGTTGAGGTGCCACTGAGCCAGCGAACTGCAACTATTCTCAGAAGAGTTCTCCCTGGTGTCTTGACCAATAGCTACCCTCAATCAATACCAAAAACAAATTGATCTGATTTGTAGGGTGAAGTGAGTGTGGAATCTTGCTGTGTGAAATCCAGCTGCTGTGGCTTTCACTCCTAAACAATGACAGGATTTTAAATGAAATGGTTACATCGGCTATAAAGCACTTTGCAATGCTTCGGGTCAATAATGGTGTGAGATAAATGTTAGTCTTTCCTTTGTTTTTCTTGAATCTGAGCGCTACACTGAAGAGGCTTTGGGAAGGTTCTGAGAGGTAAATATGGGGCTAGTTGAAAGGTAGTCTCAGGATAACGTGCAATAAAGTGACTCTGCCTTTCCCTTGCCAGATGCTCTACAATATATTCCCGTTCTTGAATTTGGCCCTGGGGCTTGTAAATGTTCTACACAACATCCAGGTGCCATTGCTTAATGCCCAGCTATCTTGCAGGCATTTCAACCTAAATTCTACTTCCTTTTCAGGTGACATGTGGGGAAGATTTTGGGGAAACCTGTATCCTTGGTCAATTCCATATCCGTCCCAGGAAGACATTGATGTGACATCTGAAATGGTCAAACAGGTACATTGACTGCTGTGCCCTTCCTGTATGAAGGATGTTACAACTAAACTATATTGAAGACAGTTAATTGAAGAAGACTAGTTATTAAAGGTACCAAGTGTAATATTGTAGATGTCTTATCAATTATGCAAGTGGAATAGATGCACTTTCAAAATATGCAGTAGGAAAAGGCCATTTAGCTGTTGTGCCCTTTATGTTGCTGTCATCCTAGCTGGTGGGATAACTGGACAAGTTCGACCCCAGATCCTACCACAGACAGTGGGGAGAAAGATTCAGCCCAATTTCCCATCAATATCTGTTACAGACTCTCAAACCTCGGTAAAGCATCACTTCTTTTTTCACTTTAACACTTCTTACTCAACCTGACAATGTTACAAGAACTTCCTTTAGCTGAATTGCTGTACCTTGACCAGATCTCATTCTCTCTGTTGCTATTTCTACCTGGGGTCACAACGGTCACAGACTAATTTACTGACATTTCCTCACTGAAGGCTGAGAAAACCTCAGGTTTTCTTTCTAATCCCTGTTGACTGGGAGTACTAAAACAGATATGATTTCTTTCCAGCTTTAATTGGCCTGGGAGACTGCCAAAAAATATGCTGAAATTTTAGCTGATATAAAGCCTTTCTTCTGAATTGACCTCTCTTTCTGTAGGTCGTGAAAGGTCAATTTAGCAAAAGCTTTAATAATTCACCAGTTGGCTTGTCCAATAATTTGACTTAAGTCACATCATTTCTTCCAAATGCTGTTTTGATTCAAATGAGTTTCTGACCCTTTGGAAAAAAAAAGGTCACCTTCAAAAACTAAAACAGTCACCTTCTAGAACCAAAAAAGCAAAAACCCATTGATGTCTAAAATAGAAGCTTGGAGCCCTTAATGATAAAATATTATAAACTTCATCAATAACAGCAACAATAACAACTGCTGTCACCCTTTAATCAGCAAGTCTATACAGCTAATCAATGCAGATGAATGCTTAGATACTCAATGCTTGGCTATCTAATAACACAGTGACTAGCAGTGTTATCTGCTATTATAGATCTTTCCAAACCTAATTGATGGTGCAAAGTAGCTGGTCTAGCATCCCTGGAGTATTGTGAATGTATTTGTCCCAGATGTTCTATTGCCCATGTTACTCCCCAGTTGTATTAGAATTGGAGGCAGCGTAACTATTCCAACACGGTGTTAGAATTACACACTGCTGTCTTATGTCTCCAGTTCAATTGATTTAAAGTTGATTGTTTCCTACATTAGATAGTTTATTTTTATATTGGCACATACCAATTCGCGGTAGTAAGGTGTAAGGTTATTCTATACCTTGCTCTTTCCTGTAAAGCCAACAATTGATTGATTAATTGACATTTTAATGCCTTGTTGCAATTACATGAATTGGTTCCTTGTCGTTTTAGGGATGGGATCCAAAAAAAATGTTTCAGAAGGCAGATCTATTCTTTCAATCGTTGGGTCTTCAACCTATGAATGCTCATTTCTGGAACTATTCAATGATTGAGAAACCAGATGGCCGTAAAGTTGTTTGTCATCCAACAGCGTGGGATATGGGCAACAGAGTGGATTTCAGGTACAGAACGTGCAGGTGGCTAAAGATCAGGAAAACGTTGGGCTGGCCGGCTTCCTTGGTGACTATCACCACTCCAGTGCATGTTGCTGTGATGTTCCTTTGATTTATGCTCAGTCCTATCACATCCGAATGAACAGATTTCCCTCGTGTATGTAGGGTATGTAGTGCAAACTCTCTGATCCAGTGCAAAGAAGGGGTCCCATTGAGAAAACCATATCCTATTGTTTGCCTCCCACCACAAGCTCTGCTCCCAGGCTGCGACCTCCAAGAATTTGTTAGCTACTGCCCGAGGCTGAAGATAATGGGTCACAACCTTAAGCTTACAGTTAGTTGATATCCACCCTGTAACCACCCTGTCAACAATATCACCTCCTGCTAGTATCGCCTGTCTCCTCCGTTCCTCAGCTAATTTACTTTTAAAACCCTTTTCTGTGTTTTTAGGACTATAAGAAATATTAGCAGAAGTGGGGCCTGCTCCACCGTTCAATAGGATCGTGGCTGATTCAACACTCCTCACGTCCACATTCCTGCCCTTCCCTCACAACCTTTGATTCTCTGACTGATCAAGAATCTGCTCGGGCTTCAACATACACAAGGACTCTGTCCCCACAGCTCTCTGTGGCAAGGAGCTCCAAAGTCTGGGGCAAGTCAAAGAGAGAAGAAATTCCTCCTCATCTCAGTCTTCAGTTGGTGCCCATTTATGCTGTGACTATGCCCTCTGGTCCTAGACTTTACTGTGAGGAGAAGCATCCTCTCAGCATTGACCCTGCCAAGCCCCTTAAGAATCCTATATGTTTCAGTGAGATCACCCCTCATTCTTCTTTCTTAAAAGAAACATAGAAACATAGAAGATAGGAGCAGGAGGAGGTCATTCGGCCATTTGAGCCTGCTCTGTCATTCTTCACCAACGTGGCTGATCGTCCAACTCAATACCTAATCCTGCTTTCTCCCCAAACCCTTTGGTCCCGTGCACCCCAGGTGCTATATGTAGTCACCTCTTGAATACATTCAATGTTTTGTCATCAACTACTTCCTGTGGTAATGAATTCCACAGGTACACCACTCTTTAGATGAAGAAATATCTCCTCATCTCCGTCCCAAATGGTCTACCCCGAAACCTCAGACTGTGACACCTGGTTCTGGATACATCCACCATCGGGAACATCCACCCTGCATCTACCTTGTTTGATCCTGTTAGAATTTTATAAGTCTCTATGAGATCTCCCCTCACTCGTCTGAACTTCAGCGAAAACAATCCTAACCTAGTCAATCATACGTCAGTCCCGCTATCTCCGGAATCAGCCTGGTAAACCTTCGCTGCATTCCCTCGAGAGCAAGAGCTTCCTTCCTCAGAAAAGGAAACCAAAATTGCACACAATATTCTAGGTGTGGTCTCACCAAGGCCCTGTACAACTGCAACAACACATCCCTGCTCCTGCACTCGAAACCTCTCACAATGAAGGCCAACAGACTGCTTAACCTTTGCTGATAAGACAATCCCTTCTAAACTCAGGAACTTGATGTGCAAAATGAAAGTATTATCTTCTTGTTTTAACTGCAGGATTAAAATGTGCACCAAAGTTAACATGGAAGACTTCTTGACTGTTCACCATGAAATGGGTCATATACAGTACGACATGGAGTACGCTAATCTGACCTACTTATTGCGAGATGGGGCAAATGAAGGTTTCCATGAAGGTGTAGGGGAGATCATGTCACTCTCAGCAGCTACTCCCAAATATCTGAAATCACTGGGTCTTCTTTCCAATTCTTTCACTGAAACAAACGGTAGGTACTTAAAGCAGCTTCTGTTAGCTAATAGTTTGCTGTTATCCCAACCACGCTATAATACAAAAACAGCCCCTATTACTCCAACAGTCCTCTATTATTCCAATAGCCTGCTATAATTTAAATAGTCCCCTGTTACCTCAACAGTCTGCTATTACTCCAACACCCACTATTACCGCGACAGCCCTCTGCTACCCCAACAGTTCTTCATCACTATGCTAATCCTTTATTACTTACTATGATGCATTAACAACTCTCTATTAAATCAACAATCCACCATTTTTCCAGCAATTGTCTATTACTCCAATGATTCTGTATCGTTCCAACTATGCTCTGTTGCTCCAAGAGCCTATTTTACTCCACCATTGCCAGGTGAATGAACCTAGATGGTGTCCCCCAATAGGACACTGACTCAAGAAGAAACTATACATACTTTGCAGTTGGACATTGTAGCTAGACCCTGACTAAAAAGGTGTGGTAAAGTCAATTTTACTGTCCCACCCCACAGTGCACCCCAGGGGAACCTTGGGGAACATTGTTTGACTCCTCTTGAAACATCTCCCCATATTGAAGTCAAAGTTACAAACAAGAATATGGCAGATTGACCAGTGTGAAGTGACTCTCAGTCGAGGCGTTGTTGGACAAAGCAAATGGACAGAGGCAAGAGGAATTACACTGCCATTTATGATGCCCTTAATGTTGGCCTGTAGCCCTACAGTGTGGGAGCAGGCCATTCAGCCCACACCAACTCTCCAAGGAACATCTCACTCAGACCCCATGCACCCCATTCCCATAACCCTGCATTTCCCATGGCTAATCCACCCTAACTTGCATATCTTTGGACTGTGGGAGAAAACCAGAACACCCACAGGAAGCCCACGCAGACATGGGGAGAACATGTAGACTCCACACAGTCACCCAAAGCTGGGATCAAACCTGGGGCCCTGGCACTGCAAGGCATCAGTGCTAATCACTGAGCCACCAAAAGCATACAACACTCGAGGTGGGACATGAACCCACAGTCCCTGGTTTAGGAGGCCAATCCCTTATCCATTAGGCCACTAGGGCCATAAGTATGAATGGGTGAGACTAACAATTGTGAGGGAGATGTAACAGTTGTGATTACTTCTACTGTAGAGATTGACATCAACTTCCTATTGAAGCAAGCACTGACTATAGTGGGCACCTTACCTTTCACATACATGATGGAGCAGTGGCGTTGGGAAATGTTCCGAGGAAACATACCCAAAGATCAGTGGATGAAAAGGTTTTGGGAAATGAAGTAAGTATTCAATTCTGAGCTCTGATTAATAATCTCACAGCGGCAATAGTCCAGGTATCTTTCTGTCTTTATCATTCTACTGAAATAAAAGATGATAAAGCGCAGATAGTTCTGAAGGCAGCGCAAGAAGTGGTACAAACGTCGGCTTTCATTTCAGGCTTCCTCTTTATGAAAAGTTAGAGCAAATACAATTTTGTAGTAGGACCTGGGCCATGCTGTGAGTGTTGGAGTCTTGCAAACTTCTTATTAACCGGCATTTGGAGGGAAACCAGAAGTGTGCCTGTTGATCAAATATTCCGGATAATCAAGAATAGAGCACAACCGCAGTGAACCCTGAATAAACAGAGTTATGTGTCATCAAAACTCTCAACAAAATCGATGTCAAAACATTGACACACCACCTAAAATCAATATAGAAGACACATGAAGTAGTAGCAACATAATACAGTTGGTGTACACATCACTGTTGTACTGTAAAGCTCTGACATAGCGTTATATACTACGTGCTGATTGTTCCGGTTGATAAGGGGCCGGTTAAAACAGAGTTTGCTGTCGTTTATGTTTTTGTCTGTGCCAATGACGAGCCCTGTCACTTCGGAAGCTGACGGATGGGGATTACTGCTAGACTGGAGCACAGCGTGACTTTTTGAGCCAATCTTTCGGTTGGGTTTGTGTCAAACCAATATCTGGTCTGGCCTCCAAGGAGCTGGAAGAGGGGAATGGCACTGCTTTGAAGCAGAAGCAGGGAGATTTTCCCAGTGGCCTGCTTAATACGCAGCCCGTATGTCAAAATCACTGCAGAAACAGGCTGTTTGGTCATTGTCATTCTACTGTTTCTGGGAGCTTGCTGTGCCCAAACTGACTTCTATATTTGTCTACATTACAACAGAGGGTCCAGGCAACAGGTTCAGTGAGCTGGGTTAGCTGATTTGTGATGTGACAGAGATATCAGCAGAGTGAGCTCAGTCCTTGCTCTGGCCGAGGTTACCCTGTTTACTCAACCTTGCCCCTCCATGATATGGTGACCCTCAGGTTAAATCACCAGCCATACTCTCCCCCCTCTCTAATGAGGGAGTAGCCCCATGGTTCATCTGGGACTATGGAAGGAAAGGAAACACAATTGAATGGAAAGCGTTTTAGGGCATCCTGAGGTATTGAAAGGTGCTATGGAAACACAAATTCTTTCTCTTGCCCAATAATGCTAACATTTTGGACCCAACTACTGATTTTTAACTTTCCCGTTTGGCTTGTCCACATACTGAACACATTCTAGCTGAATTCACTCCTCGTTAAAAATGCAGGAAGAGAAACATAGGCCTGGATTTTAATTGAGGGCAGTTTTCTGGCATAATCTTGCACAGTTTGTCCAGGACTTCCCCTCCACCAGCTGTAGAATGAGAGCTGGTCTATTTTAGAGAAGAATCCTTGTTTAAATCCTACTGACTGACTTCTCTGAGCCTCTGCACATATAAGCTTTTAATTCTGGTGGCATCCTCTTAAATCCCTGTTTGCACCTTTCAGTAAAGCCTTTGACAAAGTGCCAAATGGAAAGCTGGTCCAAAAGGTAAGAGCCCATGGGATCCAGTATTAACCAGGGAGGTGATGGCCTAGTGGTATTATCACTGGATGGTTAATCCAGAAGCCTGCGTTTAAATCACACCAAGGCAGATGGTGGAATTTGAAATCAATAAACATCTGGAATTAAGAGTCTAATGATAACCATTGTCAATTGTTAAGGGGGAAGATAACCCCATCTTTAGGGAAGGAAGCTGCCATCCTTACCTGATCTGGCCTACATGTGCCTCTAGAACCACAGCAATGTAGTTGACTCTTAACTGTCTTCTGGGCAATAAGGGATGGTCAATGATGTCCTCATCCTGTGATTGAATTAAAAAAAAACTCCCACTAGTAGCTGATGTATTTAGAAGAATTGATGAAGATAATGCCATAATTTATTCTTTTATTCTGTGAGTTAGTTATTGATGTGTTAGAAAAATTGAAACCCAGAGGATCAGAGGTAAAGGAGGAAACAAAAGCTAAAGGAATGAAAGCAGAAATGTATTTATCTAACTGGGGGGAAGCAAAGAGAGGTATCCCACAGGAACAGGTAAAGCTACTTCTATTCTGATATACATTAAGTTACTAATTTCAAACATTTCAAAGTTTGCAGTTGTAGAGAAACTCAGAAACATGTTATACGGTGGGAAATATAGCAACAGACTTCAGGAGGACATAGAAAGGTCTGTGAAATGGATGGATGCAGATAGATAAAACTTAACATGGAAAAGTGTGAAGAGATGCATTTGTAATGGAGGAATAAGCAGAGACAATATAAACTAAGCTTTTATATTGAATGGAATACTATACAAGGAGGTAAAAGTCAGCTCTGTCAGGGAACATTTAATCAACACCAGCGAGCTGTTCTGGGCACCACACCTTAAGAAGAATATATTGGCCTTGGAGGGAGTACAGTGCAGATTTATTGGAATGATATCCAGATTCTGAGGATTAAATTGCCAGCAAAGATATCACATAAACTAGGGTTATATTCGACTGAGATCTGATGGCTGTCGGGTAACTTAATCAAGTATTTAAGATTTTATGGGAAAAAGGTCGATAGGGAGAAACTATTTTTCCTAGTTGTGGAATCTAGGATCAGAGACATACCCCAGAAAAATGAGATCTCGATCTGTCAGGAATGCAAAAATTAGGAAATATTTCTTCATGCAAAAGGTGCTAGAAGTCTCAAACTTGCTTCAGGAAGTGTCACTGGATGCTGGATGAATCATTAATTTTGAATCTGACATTGATCACTTTCTGTGTCTGAATGCATGAATGGAAACGGAGAAAAATGCAGGAAGATGAAGGCAGGTCACTGGTTAGACACAACTTCATCAAATGCATAAACATGTCTGAGGAGCTAAATGCAAACATACACATAAACATATAGACACATAGTATATAATATACTCGGGCACATACATAAACATACACCTTGCTCCTTCTCATGTTCCTAAATTAAATGGTGCCATTTGAAAAGGAGTACAGGATATGAAAGCCCAGGGTTGGTGGTGGGGGGGTGGGGGAGGTGGAATTCTGTCCACAAATGTTTGACAATTTCAGGACAAGTTTAAGATGTTGTTAAAGAGTCTGTGTGATCTGATATTAAACAGATTCCGAGGGAAGGGAAGTTATACCGAACCAAGATAAAGCACTGCCAGCTGAAATGCTGTAAGAAATTTTGGTCACTGCATTTTAAGAAGGAGGGTAAGGCTTTGGAGAAGGTGCAGGAGGGAATTTATAAAATCAGCACCTAGAGACAGGGCTGTCGCATCTTCGGAAGGACTGGAGAAGGTGAAGGTCATTCTCCTTATCACGGAGATGGTTACAGGGAGATTTAATAAAGACGTTCAAGATTGTGAAGTATTTTGAGAGAGGAGCTAAGGAGAAATTGTTTTCACTGACCCGAACGTCAGTAAGCAGAGGGCACCAGAGCTGGGATAGTTAATCACAAAACACAGAATGGGACGTGAGTTGGTTGTATTTTTCCTTACAATAAATGATTATGATTGGAGCTGCAGTGCCTGAAGGGGTGATGGAAGCAAAACCTATAATAACGTTTGAAAGAATATAGGATGACTACGCGAAGGGGTGCAACGCAAAGATGTAAGGAAAGGTCAAGGAAGTGGGATGGATTATAAATCTCTTTCAATGAGAAATCTCATTATTTGTATTTTTCCTTAGACGCAAGATTGTTGGTGTTGTCGAGCCTCTGCCACATGATGAAACCTACTGTGACCCAGCTGCTCTCTATCATGTTTCCAATGATTACTCCTTCATCAGGTATGTGTAAAATCCCCAGCAGTGTGGGAACTGAGACTTTCGTGCTGTTAGCAAATTGTGCAGGAGGGGGTCAGTTCAAAACAGTCCTTCAGGTTTCTGGCTGTAACATGAAACGTTCTTTTATCACGGTTGACCTTGACGACTCCATCATTGTAGATGGGGCCTGTGAAGATTCACTGTTGACCAAATATTCCTGAGACTTTGTCAACTTGATTTCTTCCCTCGATGTTGGATGTTCCAGTGAGCGTTTCCCAGCCTGTTGAGACATTTATTCCATGATGCTGTGACTGTATCTCGCTGCAAGAAGACAGTTCAAACATCCAATTTGTGGCCATGCATTTTGGCAATTTATACAATATTTTGCAGAATAGGAGTTCGGGGCACGGTGGTAGCAGCTTGATCTCCAAATCCACTGATACCTTTAATAGCCAGAAATACGTTGCTGTCTCTCTTGCATGTACTGAAAGATTGAACCTGCACAGCATTTTGGGATAAAGAATTCTAAAGACGCATCACCCCCTGAGTGAAGAAATTCCTCCTCACCTCAATTCTAAATGGACTCATTTGGTGACCATAGTCATGCACCCCCTGCCCCCCACCCAAGTCAGGGAACCGCCCCTCCTGACAATATGTCATCTTCAGCTTCACTTTGTCTATCCAATAGGTAATGAAGGAAAAGTTAATATCTGCCCATGAGCCAAACCTCAGCTGAGACCTCCCCTCTACCCACTGGCTAATGAGTTTTGTCTCATGGTCAGTATTTCAGAGTATCTTTAAGAGATATGCTCATGAAATCATCACTATGTCGTAGCATGCAACCTGAGGATATAAAGATCTCAGACTCCATCTTAACTCGGATCACTTGAAGCATGGCACACTCATGAAAGCATGTTTCTCTTGTAACCAAAGAGCATAATACTTGGCAAGGCACATGGGTGACTGTGAATGTCAATCATTTTTGTTTAACATGTAATAAACATCCGTCGTATCCTTCAACACCATGTTTTTCATATTATAAATAGAGGGACAGTATAAACTTTGTCGCTTTAAGTAAAGGTTCCCTGCTGAGGGCAAAACCCACATCACTGGCTGTGCTAACTTTATCAAAGCAACAAGCTTCCTGAGGAGAGGCTTGTGAGTTTTCTGCAGTGGGGCAGAGTCTCTGTGTATGTTTAAGACAGATACTAGATCAGTGAGGGAAATCAAGGATTATGGGGAATATGAGGAATGTTGGATCAGCCATGATCCTAGCGAATGGCAGGGCAGGCTTGAATGGCCTATTCAAATTGGGAATAACACTCCTAGAATACTGTCATGAGCTAGTCATAGAATCATAGATTCCCTGCAATGTGGAAGCAGGCCATTCGGCCCATCAAGTCCACACTGACCCTCTGAAAAAGCATCTCACCCAGACCCACCACCCACAACCTATCCCTGTAACCCTGCATTTCCTGTGGCTAATCCATCTAATCTGCACATCCCTGGACACTGTGGGCACATTTTTGTGACTGCAGGAGGAAACCAGAACAAACTCACACAGAGAATGTGCCAGCTCCACACAGACAGTCACTTGAGGGTGGAATCAAACCCGGGTCCCTGTCTCTATGAGGCAGCAGTGCTAACCACTGAGCCACCGTGCCGCTGTCTCCTTCTAGTGGATCTTTCCTGCCAAATACAACAGCAAAGAAATCTCATTTTCTGGTTCCTGACAGTGGATTATTGTTCGTGAATTGGAGAGTTGCCCCAGTGCTCACTGCTGCTGGTGTTATGTGTTGGTTATTGCGCTGTTCCCTTGCAGTCTACAATAAAGCATCCCCTGTCCTTCTCTTTAGATACTACACAAGGACAATCTACCAGTTCCAGTTTCACGAAGCTCTGTGTAAAGTTGCTGGCCACAAAGGTGAACTACACAAATGTGCCATCACCAACTCCACAGTAGCAGGCAAGAAGCTCAGGCAAGTTTTCAATTTCTTGCGTATTCTGGTGTATCTAGATTATCATAAGCACACTCAACTCATGGGAAATTCCAGGCAATATAGCAAAGTGACATTGTAAAACAATTTCATACAGCAGTGAAACAGACCCTTCGGCCCAACTCATCCATGCTGACTAGGTATCCTAAACTGAACTAGTCCCATTTGCCTGTGTTTGGCCCCCATCCCTCTAAATCTTTCCTATCCATGTACCTGTCCAAATGTCTTTTAAATGTTGTAATTGTACCCGCCGCTACTAATTCCATACACGCACCACCCTCTGTGTGAAAAGTTATCTCTTGGGTCCCTTTTATAACTTTCCCCTCTCACCTCAAACCTATGCCTTCTCATTTTGGGGAAACGACCTTGTCTATTCACCTTATCCATGCCCCTCATGATTTTATGAACCTCTGTAAGGTCACCTCTCAGCCTCCTACGCTCCAGGGAGAAAAGTCCCAGCCTATCCGGCCTCTCCTAACAACTCAAATCTTCCAGTCTTGGTAACATCCTTGTAAATCTTGTTTGCACAGTTTAATAACATCCTTCCTATAGCAGAGTGACCAGAATTTAACACAGCACTCCAAATGTGGCCTAGTTGGAACATGACAACCCAACTCCAGTACTCAATGTTCTGACTGATGCTTTGTACCTTATGCCATATGTTGCCGTGCACTGTCAATGGAAGAATTGACACATTGCCAGATTTCAGAGTCTGCCAACTCTGGTTTGAGCTAACGTCAACTTTGCTAGTTGGGTTTCTCATCAGTGAAGCATCTCAGGGTGGCTCTGCTACAGTTTAAAACCCTCTATGATTGCAAGTTGTTGTTTCTGTTATAACTGCCATGTATGATTATGTCTAAGGCAAGAAAAATAGTCCAACTGAGTGAGAGATAATTCATGACATCGTTCTCCAATATATCCAGCTCATTGACTATAAGATTGAGACAGAAATTGTGCGCAGAAGCTATTTAGTTCCTTTAGTTCTGGTTCCTTCAGTATTCTCAGGAAGTGACAAAGCATTTACAAAGAGGCAAAGGGACTTATCCAGTTGCCCTGTTTTCTCTCACATGCAGTGATATGCTTAAATTAGGGAAGTCTGAATCCTGGACTAGAGCTCTCGAGAAGGTAACTAACCAAACCAGAATGAATTCTGCATCACTGCTGAAATATTTTGAACCCTTGCATACCTGGCTGAAGAAAAACAATGCAGACAATGGTCGAACCGTTGGCTGGGACACTAACTGGAGCCCATGTAAGTAGTCAACCCACCAATCCTGCCATCTTTTCGCACCCTTTCGTGGATAATTGAGTTGTTTTTGTTAGTGTCACAAGGAACCAGCCTAAGAAAGTAATGGACTGTGACAGTTTCCAATACTTCACCAAATCTTTTATTCGGTGCCAGCCCTGTGGTTTTGAGGCTGTTAAATCTTGCCTTCCTTCAGCTGGGTATGATTTTTATGGGTATGGCCAGAAGGTGATTGAAGGTGAGAAGAGATCTCCAAGGTTATTTTGGTCACACAGACTCATCATGATATGTTTTGATTTATTCCTTCCTGGTCTATGGCCATCATTTCTGCTAGTTCTTAGTTACTGTTTAACTCAGAGGCCATTCCAGAAGGTAGTTCGGAATCAACTACTTTGGAGTAATGGGCTCTGGATTAACATGTAAGCCAGACCAGGTTCAGATGACAGGGTTCCTTCACTCATCATTTATCTACACACTCACTCACTCACCCTCACACTCTCACTCAATCTCACTCACTCATCACTCACCCTCACTCACTCATCATTCAC